ACAATGGAATTTACAATTTTTGTAATTTTATTATTATTAAGTATGGTATCTAATCACTTTGCTTACATTTTTGTTTTAATTCTCATAAAAACTTAGTGAAAATTAGCGTCTGTATTTTTGAAAGGAAGCCGAGGCCAAGTTAAGTGACACACTAGTGAGACCCAGCTAGTAAATGGTAAAGCCAAGATGGAATCCAGTGTGATCTGTTCCAGCAGCTCTTACTCGCCAGTCTACCACACTGTCGTGGATAATCCATCTGCACATTTTGGGGTAGATTCTGGTAACCATACTAGAAACATGTATCCAGTCATAGTTTCAAATACAAATGAACAATAGCTTAGTGTGTTTCAATCACCTCTTCTCTTATTGTAATGTCATATCCTTCCCTTTCTCCTTTTCAGTTTTCCACTTGAGGGCACATCAACAAATATAAGATGGTTGGAGAATGTCAGCTATTGTCCTGGTAATGAAACATCTGAGACGTAATGAAACTTCTGAGACTATGTCTAATAGGACCTGATAAGCCAGTCCTCAGCCACAATCTCATTCCTGATTAAGCCTGGGGTGGGTCATGTTGATACGCAAATCTGACAACACATGTGTAACCTCTTCTCTATCTGCTCCCTGCTTTACCTCGTCTACTCCCCCTTGATCTGTCTCACCTATAGTCAGAGGACAAATTCTGGGGTTTGAGATTCACTCCAATAAAAATACAGATTTGTCATTGACTAGGAAGTTCAGGAACCAAAAACAAAATTTTGAATTTATGGCTCAGGTTGAAACAAACCCTGTTCTATGTGTTTTGGCAGGAGTGAAGGCCATGGGGCAGCTGAGTTTTTGTAGAGGCTGGTCACTTCCATCAGGTGTCCTGGCTGTGCTACTTACACAGCATAGTCAGCACAGAACGTCATCAGATCATCAGGAAGTGACTGCTTCCTGTAGGGACATGACTTTAATGGCCTTTATAACAGCTTCAGCACCGACACAATTATGATCATGCCAAACACACCTATCTTACTCGATTTCTGTATCAGAACTCTGGTCTCTGAATCAGGGACACTGTCCTCTCTGCTTTTATTGACCAAAACCCTATATAAACATCGTATCAGACAATAGGGTCTCACCGTTTCTCATGGCAGAGTAATAACCCCTAGGATATACATGCCGCAGCTTTACAGCTGAGCCAGCAGGTTGTGGACACTTAGGTCGATTCCATGTGTGAAAAGGGAACCCTCTTACACTTGTTGGTGGGAATATAAATTAATACAAGCCCTGTGGAAAACAATGTGGCAGTTCCTCAGAAACATAGAACTACTGTATGACCCAGTAATCTCACTCTTTGGAAAGACACTTGCACATATATGAACAAGTTTTGCTAGTGTTCTCTGTAACGATACTTCAGTATGTTGTAGAGAAATACTTTTTCTGTGTGCGTGCTATAAAAAGCAGACAAAAGTGAGTTAAAGTAAGATATTCTCCCCACTAACCACCCCAGAAAGAATGGCCACACCATAATCCCTTCTCCATCCTCCTGTTGGGATTGTAGGCTCAGGCACTTGACTTGTTTTTCAAGCTGCTGAGTCTGCAATTCAAACTGCTCAGTAAGCCACATGGGATAAGCTGCCCTAACCCCATGATAGACTGACCTGTAAATAATTATTTTTTATTTCAACTTTATTTGTAGAGGTTTCTGCCTTAGGGAGCATGTGTTCACTGGAGAGAGAGAGAGGGGGAGAAATCATCCCCAGGGGGATGACCACACCACAATCCTTTCTCCTCCATTCTCCTCCTGGTATCTTGGACATGGAAGCATGCACACATACTCAGTGTAATTTTCAGGCTGTCTGGTCTGGAACTTGAACTGTGGTTGGGAATCCAGTGATGTAACCACTATGCCATTTGTTGGCCCCAAGAATTACTTTCTAAAAATATTTATTTATTGATACCAGCAGACAGCATAATAGTTACATTTTTGGAGTCCCAAATGACTGACTACAGTTCGAGCCCCAGACTCGGCAGCTTGAAACTCATGCTGGGCATGTGTGCGTGCATACCCAAAATCCCAAGAGAAGAATGGAGGAGAAGGGATTGCGGTGTGGCCATCCCCCCAGGGGGTGATTTTTTGCTTTCTGTCTCTCTGTCTCTCTCTGATTCTCCAGTGATCACATATATAGCAAAAGTCTCTCTGGAAAAAAAAGATTATTTTCTTCTTTGAATGAGAGACAGAGAGACAGAGACAATGAGACAGCATCCCAAAAAAAAAAGAATATTTTCTTCTTTGAATGAGAGTCAGAGAGACAGAGACAATGAGACAGCATCCCAACAGGGTCTTGACACTATAGTGTACTCTGCTGACTCAGTCAGCTTCAGATCATGAGCATGTATATGGCAGGGTTACTCAGGAAGGTTTCCAGACACAAATATGGAACTCTTCCATGTGAGCTTCACAGAACATGTGTTTTTCGAATATTTTCTTCTTTGAATGAGAGTCAGAGAGACAGAGACAATGAGACAGCATCCCAACAGGGTCTTGACACTATAGTGTACTCTGCTGACTCAGTCAGCTTCAGATCATGAGCATGTATATGGCAGGGTTACTCAGGAAGGTTTCCAGACACAAATATGGAACTCTTCCATGTGAGCTTCACAGAACATGTGTTTTTCTGCTGTGCCCCCTCCTAGCCCCAAGAACTACTTTTCTTTTCTGCTCCTTTTATTTCATACTAGAGTGAGCCTCAGCTTGGCACTCCTAGATTCCTACAGGATTAGTTTCTAAGGAAATGATAATTTTCCATTTGTCAAATTAAACATAATATTCTCCTGGTGGCAATGAGCAACTGCTAATGGTACTGAATTATTATTGTGTGAGGGCGCAGTTTCTCCCTAGATCCTGTGATAATAGTGACCTGTGCCCTATTTCCTTGAAATTTTGAACTTTCATATCATAGAAATATATTTTCCCAAGGTAAGTGAGATACTATTTCCATACTGTTCTGAGATGTTCAAACTTGCACTACATTATGCTGAGAAATAGGAAATGATAATTTAGAGCAATACAATAGAGTTAGGAATTTGAGGCCACTTCTCTGTAATAGGAGATGTGTGGGAGGGATGGGTGTCATTACATACGACAAACGCTGAGGTGGTGTTCATTTAAAAATTGAAAGATTTGTTACGTATGGTTTATAATAAAGAGTCAACCAGAAAATAAAAAGAGGTAAATACAAATTTTGATATTTTCAGAGGAGATTGATAATAGTGATGAGGGGAGTTTTTGAAGAAGCTCGAGTTGCTTAGTACATAGTGACCACAAAATTTTAAAATGCTGCATTTGTAAAAAGGAGTCACCTTATTGATAACATATATTCATGAATTAAAGTAATAATAGTGACTTTACTAAAAGGGTGTTTGTCTTCAGAAATGTGAGGTAATATGTCTTACTGGTTGAGTTTCTGAGATTTGGAATCAGATATAACTTGATTCAATCTAGAGTGCATCACTTGTTAGCTTTTATCCTAATGCAAATATTTTAGTCCCCATTACTGCACTGGGTCCACTTGTAGGATGGAAATATGATGTAAGAAAGAAGGACTTTGGGAAAATTCTGAGTACAAGGTAAAATACTCAAAAGTAGCTTGATAAATTTTAGTTGTATTTCTTGCAGCATCTTCCTCACAGTGAGTACCTTGTCACTAGAAATATAACTGCCATGAAGGATGATGTTGTATCAGAACTGTGGTGCAATGTGAATTACTGCAGACTTTTAGATGTCTAGTTGTCCTTTAAGAATCTATTGTGAGTCTGAAACATTAAATTTATGTTAATATAACCTAAAAGTACAATTGTATTTTTAAAACACTAATATTACATCAAATGAAGTAATTTATAGTTTTCCTGTAGTGTCCTATTTCCTGAACATTGTATTTCTGAACTGAATGTATTCAGTAGAAAAGCCTTCTTATATCTTTCCTTAAGATAAAGTAGAAAAGGAGATTAAGAAAAGGACATATATGAAATGAAATAAGGAAATTATAATGGGAACCAAGATTATGGGATTGAGTACTTTTTCCCATAAAATATTGATTTTTCTTCAGTACAGTTGTGCCAGAGGCTGACTTCTGTCCTATTTTAATCCTTGCATGTTTAGATTTGAACAGTTGGCTTTATCCCATTGTGAAGCTAAGTGCTGTACAAAAGTACCTTTAACCTTCATTCGACACAGATGGCCTCCTTTAGGCTACTTTCCTGTGTGATTTTTGGAGGTGCCACTAACGAGACAATATCATGAAGAGAGAACATTAACACCTTTTGTTCAGGTTAAATTATTAAAAAATTCTCAGTTTCCTTACTTTATCAGATACATGTCTACTCAATAAAAGGCCCAGATTTAACTCTTCAATCCACAGCTACAGTTTTGTCATATCATCAGTTACTGGGAAGTGCTGCTCCTTGAAATTTCCATAGAATTTCAGTGCTTTCCTGTATTAAAATAATTGGAAGTTCAGAGTGCCTTTTTACTGTGAGAGGTTAAGTAATTTCCCCAGATCCACAATGCTAAGTTAGAGTGCACTGATGACCAGATTGTAAGTCTTCTGAATTGCAATCATCTTCCCACCACTCCTGCTTTATTCCTACACACACACACACACACACACACACACACATACACACACACATTTATCTTGTTCTGTCTTCAAGTGAAAAAAAATGAATGAATACTCTTAAAAGACTCAAACTCGTGTCTACATCAATGGCCAATAGAGAGGTGGCTCACAGTAGGAACCAAATAAAAGTGTTTTAGATGCGACTGGATCAAATCTTTAAGGCATGGAATGTAATCAGTGCTTGTGAAGAAGGAAATTCTGTTTCAGAAGAGGACTCGCATACTGAATCTCTGACCGGCAACTGATGATGCTGTGTCCTCTGATGCTGATTGGTTCCCAGCACAGAAATGATCCAATCCAGGAACAAATTAGTTCATTTTATTTGGGATATGGATGAAAGAGGGTCATATTCTCACTCAGTGAGACTTTCCTTCTCTCACACCTGGTCCCCTCCTGTTCTCCAGCATGGCATGTCTGTGGCTCCCTGGAGGCTCCTGGATGGCAGCTCTGACAGTGACACTGATGGTGTTGAGCCCTCGCCTGACTTTAGCCAGGGACACCAGACGTATGTGCCACCCTTGGGTACCGAGCTATTATGGGGTGGGTGCAGAAGGGAGTTAACTTTTACAATAGGTCTAGGCAGTGCCCCTAAAAAATTGTGACATTTTCTTCAGTGAAAACCTATATTTAGCAGATGGATCTCTAATTATTTCCATGATGAAAGGACCTGCATCTTGCTCTCCTATGAGACCTGTGTAAAGGTCTACATAGGCCCTTTCTTCTCAAACCTCCTTCAGTAAAAACTCTCCAGCTTTGTACCACCTTTTTTTCAAGGTCTGGAGGATTTTGAAGTAATGATGTTAAAGTAATTCCTCACCAGCCTTTCTCTTTGATATGCCAAATTATGCCAGAAGAAAGAAAGAGTTCTCTGAAAATTTTATGAAGAGTCAAAAAGAACTGGAAGGGCCTGTCCAGGATCCTGTTATATCCTCAGTAGGATCTGTAGTGATGGTGCCTCTGCCCAGTTTGTGAGGTTGTATCAATAGACCTTGCCCATTGGCCTCTTCTTACTCTCCTTGAACTCCAGTATTTATAGTTTGCATCCCTGTCCTAGAGGGTTTTTAGTTTGCTTCTGTGTTTGTTTTTCCAGAATTGGGCTGGGTGCTCTATATTTCTCTCATTATTTTATGGAAAGAACTCTGGATGTGGGTGCCTTATGACTTGGAATAACCCTATAGATAAAGAGCTCTATGGGATATTCTTTGGTGTCTTAATTAAAAAAAAAAAACTTAAGATATCTTCTGAAAGCCTGGTAGTGCTCATTATGAATTTATTTTGAAGCTTTCTGTATTGTCAGTTTCTCTTACATCCTTTGTATTCTCTGACTAGAGTCCACAAGAAAGGATCCAACTAGTGTAAGAAATGATATGAAATTCCATTTTTATAGCACAAAAATAGTCAAATAGGGCTAGTCTTAGAACCTAATGGTTAAGGGAATCAGGATTCCACATCAGGATACCCACCCCTGTAAAAATCTCAACCCTGCCAATCATGGGTACATGAAGGCTCCAAATCTTAACAGGATGGAGAATAGGAGGAGAAGGGGTTGTGATTAAGGGAGTGTGGTACTGCTGCTCTCTCCCTCTCTCTCCTTGGTGAACACATGTGTCCCATGACTATTAAACTGTATAGTCAGATATCAGTATTTCCACAGGGTTTAAGGTGTACACCCTTTCAATTCTCACGGAATTGAAAGCCAGTAAGCAAGTCAAGGGAACTCAGCCCCCTACTGGATTTTTGCCCCCAAATTTCAGAGGTCCATTCATTGTGTCCTCTGCTTTCCTTCATTATTTGTCTGGGTACCTGTGCCTCTTTTTCCTCTTCCTGCTATATCATCACCAGTATTGAAAAATCCCCAAATTTATAGAAACCCTTAGTACTGTGAGAGATCCATCAGCAGGATGAAACAAACAAAATCTCCTTCTTTCTTAAAATCACATTTTTATTCTTACTTGCCAAAATTTATATAATATATATTTATATTTTTTTTTGTAGAGATTTTTGCTATAGGTCGCGTGTGCTTGCCAGACAGAGAGACAGTGAGACAGAAAGTGAGAATTCACGCCCCTAGAGGGAAGGCCATGCTGCAATCCCTTCTCCTCCATTCTCCTCTTAAGATCTTGAGCACACACGCACACGCGCCTGGACTGAGTTTAAGCCACCGGGTCCAGGACTCAAACCACAGTCGACTACATGGGAGTCCAGCAACATAGTCGTTACGCTAACTGCTGGTCCTTCCCTTGTGAATACTTCTAACTAGAAAGGTGAGGAAGAGAAAATTGCCTGGATTTCTTCTCATCTAGAGTGGAAGACACATCATGTGTCATGGCGTAAATGGGCGTTAGAGCGTGTGTCCCTCTCACTGCCAGGATCCCACAGTGATCCGTGCCCAGATCCCTGGTTTATTTACTTAGACCACAGGTGTTTCTGGGAACAACTATTTTTGTACTGGGCTCCATTCTAGGGTCAATAATTGTATTTGAGTAGTAAGAAAAGATCCCTAATGCTATGTGAATAGGAGTTATTACTGCTCTAAAGAAAAAAAATGACCAGATGGTATTATTGGATTCACCTAACTTCAGTTTAAGTGGCTAGGGGGGTCTCTCTGAGAAAGTGACATCTACCTGAGAAAGGAATGATGAGAAAAACACAGCCATGTTAAGAGCCAAGGGAAAAGTATTCCAAGGAGACACGGCAGGAGAAAGGATAAAATGTGGGAAACACGCCAAGTTTAAGGGACAGAAAGCGTGTGCAGAGGCTGAAACTAGTGAGCAAGGGGGTTTAGCAGCACGAGAGCAGAAGGCCGACGAGGAGATCTGGAGCCTAATCATACTAGACCTGAAGGCGATGGTAAGATACCTGGATTTCATTTTAACCAGATGTGGGAAGCTACTGGAGGGTGATGAGGAGAGACAACTTATATTCAGGCTTGAAAAGTGATTCTAGGGGCCAGAAGATGATAGTGGTTACATCACTGGACTCCCACATGGCCAACCTCAGTTCAAGTCCCAGACCTGGTGAATTGAAACTCAAACTGATTGCGTGCACACGTGTGCCCAAGATCCTCAAGGAGAATGTAGGAGAAGGAATTGCTGCCTGGCTATCCACTGGTGTGTGTGTGGGGGTGATTTCTCACCTTTCCTCTCACTGTGTTTGTCTCTCTCTCTCTCTGGTGAGTGCACGTGCCCTATGGAAAAAACCTGCACAAAAAATTTTAAAAAGTGATTCTAACTACTGTGTGGAGATTGGATTGTTGGGTTCAGAGTAGAATTGGGGAGACCGCTGAGAAGCACAGGATTCTCTAGGGAAGACTTGTGGTTTCATTTAGTGCCATGGTGATAAAAATAATGAAGGTCAACTGAACAGATTGAGATAGCCTTTTTTGTGATTTGTTAAGGAATTAAGTACAGAGAGGAGGTTTTCAAAAGTGCAGGATATTTCAAAGAATTTTATCTTGAGAAATAGGTGGCAAGCGGTACTGTTTATTGAGATAGTTAAGACTGTGGGAGGAAATGATTTGAAGTGGGTGATTAGAAATAAAGGGTTTAGGGGCCAGAAGGTGGCATGGTGGCTAAGGCACTGGACTTCCACGTGGCTGACCATGGTTAGAATCCCGGATCGGGAGCTTGCAAATCATGTTGGCATGTGTGTGTGCCTGAACAGAATCCTGAGAGGAGACTTAGAGGAGAAGGGGTTGTGGTGTAACCATCCCACATGGGTGTGATTTCTCACTTTCCCTCTCTCTGTCTCTCTCCAGTATCAGTTGACAAAAACAAAAATAAGAACGACAAAAAAAAAATAAAACAAAACAAACAAAAAAGCAAAAAAATCCAAAAAATTTTTTTCTTTTTTTAAAAAAAGGTTTAATTTATAATTGAAATAGTTTTTAACATTAATGTGGAAATGTCAAGAAGTCAGTTGACTACGAGCCTAGAGTCAGGGTGAGGTTGGGACTGGAACTTTCGTTTTCATCGCTGGCACGTGTGCTGCATTAACTCCCGGGGAAGAGGAAGAGCAGAAACGTGCACAGGAGCTGCCTGCTCCTTTTCTTCACTGCCCAGCCTGGCATTGGGATCCGTGACCGTGACATCCAGCTGGGCTGCTGCTTCCAAGGTGGCCTTGCGGTTCTTGGAGGACACGTGCGCGCTCACCACAGTCAGACTTCCTGCACATCAGCACCGCCGGCTCCTGATGCTGTGGACAGGAACTGCGGGAGCCCTGGGCAGCATGCCCTGTGTTTTCTTGTTGTTCCCGTAACCGCTGCTGGGCATCAGGATCCGGCCCTCAACTCTCCTCGGCGCCCTGTTGTCAATACACCTGTGAGTCTGCCAGTCAGGCTTAATTCTGACGTATCAGTCTGACTGTGCTGGGGAACTTCTCTGACCTCTTTTTGACTGTCTTGGGCCTCAGGAGGGGCTGAGGGCGGCCATGGTTCCTGGTGGAAAGTGGCTGCTGCCTCTGCAGGCAGGGAAAGCTCACCTCAGGGTTTACCTGTCACCTCTCATGTCCCTGTCTGGCACCCTAAGGTAATTTAGTCATTGTACTGTTAATTCTCTGGAATGGAAGGCTTTTCTCTCGACCTCTCCCATTCCTGGGTAAATCCCTGTGCTTGCTTTCTGTCTCTCACTGTTCACTGGACTCTAAGCTTGTCGGGTCCGTTTTCCCCTACTTGGGTCCCCAAGGTCCCCGCAGGCCTGGCACTAGGTCAGCACTAAGGACGGATTTGGAGAAAGAAGGAGGTGAGGGCTGTGGGGTGAGAGGAGGGGGCGGTGAGTGTGTTTATGGGGGCTTCCAGGAGGAGGTGGCACAGGCAGGTGACAGGGCAAATCCTGGCCCAGCTCAGTCTTGGAATCCGTGGTCATTCAGGAGGCAGGAGCGGATACAGAGTGGCTCTGATCTCAGGGTTTCTCCTGCCAGAGCGGCCTCCTTCCCTCTGTGGTCAAAAGGACGACAACCCTGAAGGCGCTGGACTCTGGGCTGCAGGGTCGGGAGCCCATCAGGGTCGTCCTGGCGCCGCCACCCGGGACCTCGGTTGTGCGTGTCCTCCCGGAGCCCACCGCGTGACGCCGTCCTTCCTGTCCCCACAGCGCGTTTCATGGAGCAGCTTAAACATGAGTGTCATTTCTCCAACGGGACGCAGCGGGTGCGGTTCCTGTTCAGAGACATCTATAACAGGGAGGAGGTCGTGCGCTTCGACAGCGACGTGGGCGAGTTCCGGGCGGTGACGGAGCTGGGGCGGCGGGACGCCGAGTACTGGAACCGCCAGACCGACATCCTGGAGCAGAAGCGAGGCCGGGTGGACAACTTCTGCAGACACAACTACGGGGTTGGCGAGAGCTTCACGGTGCAGCGGCGAGGTGAGTGGGCCAAGGGCGGCGGTGTCTGTGGGAGGGGGGGAGATGGAGGGAGAGAGAGAGAGACAGAGACAGAG